GAACGTTTTTTACGAACTGTTTCAGAAACTATATCCAAAATGTTAACAGACTCTGTTCTAGATATAGTACCAATTCCCATGATATTGTCATTAAGACCGAGAGGATAGACTGTCTGTAATTTTTAAATCCAGTTTAATTCAATTATTTTTCGTGATCGTACAAATTTTGAATGAGATTACCCAGGCTGCTGATAACAGTTATAAGTATTTACTAGGTTTAAATTTTTCATCTAGTGGACTTCTAAAACAAGGTAAAGAAGAATTATAAAAAAATCACTATTAAAAGCTTTATTAAATTATAGTGATCTTTATCATCTTCCAATCCAAGTATTTCAACTCTATTACATATATTTGACCTATCTTAATGTATGGCAGTGAAATTACAGGTATGTTCAAAACTAGCTCTGCAACATGCCAGAAAGAAAATGAATATTTGACAGGTGAAGCCTGTCTGATGGACATGTAGACCTTGCAAGGACAAATATAGTTATCCTATTACTTACTTAATCCTCTTCATGTTCTTGAACACATAAGGCATCAACAAGGGACTTTACCCTTGTTTCTGTTTCTGTAGCATAAGTTTCTTTCCGTGGCTGAGTAGCTAGCCCAGCGCACACCCCCCTTACCAGGAGGGCCAGGGATTTATTCATCAAGGTCTCCTTCCTCTAGATGAGCTGCTAGCCACAGCTTATGATTCCCATCTTACCATTGGTTTTGTATCGAGTTGTCCTTCTCTTAGATGAACTGCTTTAACAGAGCTATGATCTTCATCTGACCAACTATTTACCCATAGCTGGGGCAAGGTTGATGAGTGCTAGGGCATGTCTACACGTCGGTGGGCCTACACACTGCATCTCTGGGGCCCTTGCTGCTCCGAAATACTCTACAATTTTGCCTAGGATGCTAGACCCTAGTTACCATGTGCCGTCGCGAGGAGGCATTGTAGAAGTCTAGAATAGTGCAGAGGCTATGTACTGGCAAAAAGACTTAAACACTCGGCTTTCTCTTCACCTGCCAAAACAGGCTAGCCAGCGGTGATAGAGAGCCTATGACTCCTACCTCCTACCACACTAGACGCATGCACAATCCTGTGGAACAAACCACCAGCACAATCCTATTACTCATAATTTAATATGACAAAAATAAAGAGCTGCGCCATGAGCGCATGATACGCCTGACGCCTATTAGGCTTGTCTTTATTCTTTTGAATGAATTTATATGATCAACTTGAAATACTGTGAGCACCAAAAAAAAAAAAAAAACATGCACACACAGTCAGGTACCCATTGACACAAAACATGAATAATTTGAAACTATTAAGGCTACCTCAAGTATAACTAAGTTTGTGGCCTTGATTTTTTCACCTATACATTTCTATCTTGTTCACACCATGGTTTGTAAACGAATAAAATTCTATAACCATCCAATTATAGGCCTTGCGGTTGCCTATAATTACTTACATTCACTTCATTTTAACTTTGGTGGATAGTTGTCTCATTGGCAATCATACCACATCTCCTTATTTTTATACAAAGTGTGAAAAACATTTGTCAACAAACAAAGTTCCATATCTCCGCAATTTCATATAAGAAATTTGTAAAAAAAAATAAAAGGGAGCTTATTTCAATAGATATAAAGAAGTCACCAAAGTTAAATGAAAACTGTTCAAAGCCTTTATGAGTTATTGTCCGAAAACTGGAAATTCCCCCTTTTTAATGAATAAAGTCTCGATACTTCAAAACGTAAAATCAGAAATTCACAAAAATCGAAAGAGAACTTACTGGAAATGTGAAGATATGATTGAAGCTTTAAATTTTCTCTTGGACAACATATATATACGTTTCGGCGATAAAGTGTATCGATAAGTAGTAGGTATTCCTATGGGCACTAACTGCGCCCCTTTAATAGCAGATTGATTTATTCCTGTATTGCTATGAATCTCAGTTTATGACCAAACTCAGTAAAGACATTGTTACATTTGGTTGATACATTCAACAATACCTTCCGTTATCTAGATGATATTTTTTCGTTAAATAATCCAGAGTTCTCTAAATATACTACCGAAATTTACCCAAAAGAACTTACTTTAACTAAATCTAACATAAACAGCAGTAGTTGTCCTTTTCTAGATTTTGACATTTCAATCTCTAAAGGAAACTTCATACTAAAATTTACGACAAAAGAGACGACTTTTCATTCCCTATTTTCATTCCCTATTGTTATTTTTCCTTTTTTAGACGGCGATGTGCCTTTGGCTCCATCATACGGTGTTTATATATCCCAACTCGTTCGTTATGCCCGTGTGTGTAGTGATGTCATAGATTTTAACGAACGTAATCAATGCATCACTGGTAAATTAGATACAAAGATTTGATTAGTAAATTTGGCTGTACCTGTAGAAAACTGATTAAAAACGGTATTTCACATCCTAAATTTTACGGTTATATTGTACTTAAGGTAGCAATACACAGTTAGGATTGTTAGTTTCGCATTTTGGGGTCTCACAGCCATTTTTGAAGAAAAAATAAGTAAACTAACACCATATGTTTCCATGGATACTGAACTTATGTAATTTAGTTTTAACTTTTTTTTAAGTGATTTGGAATCTGCTAAGAAATAGGATTCTAAATATGTATACATGTTTGGGTATTAATGTTAAAATGGCAATATCCATTTCAAAATGCCTGTCCATGTTCCTGCACTTAGAGACCCAATTTCAGCTTCAAATGCTAACTGTTTATTGCTACCTAAAGTGCGGAAATCACTATGTGATCCGTGTAAACTCATCGAACCTTTAAACAAACTTATTAGTAAAGGTTATCTCACCAATGTTGTAATAAGATCTTTGAATATAGTTTACATTGGCACTAATATCGATTTTGTCATCAGCAAATTAAAACATAACTAAATTTGTATTCTTTTCAAGCGGGATGTATAAAGACACACAACGTTCATTTTGATCAATAAAGAGGTTAACTCCTAACTATCCTACTGCCTGTCGATACATTTATTTTTGGCATTGCACAAGTCATGTCTTCTTTGACTGTCCATGACGTTAAAATACTAAATCCCTGGGATGTGTTTTAGTTGATTTTAGTCTCTGATGCATGATTTTTTATTATTAATTGTTTTTGGCTTTTAACAAGCTGTCAGTAACTGCGAGTACTCTCAAATCGTACTTTCTTGTTTATTTGACCTGTTGATACTAATTGTAATGCTTTTTTGTTATTTAATGTTATATCTGGTCTATATACCAGCTTTGTTAAGTGTTTGGTATTACTTTAAATTTTCACTTCTTCGTACTGTGAACATCAAAATTATTTATTTTGTTAAAATATTTCATTTCTCTATTTGAACTGTACACATATACCTGACACCAACATTATTTTCATTTACCTGTGTTTAAAGTAATTACAAATGGCTGATATTATTGTTCAAGCATATTGTTTTTCTTAAATCGTTTAACATTTCACAGCGGTATAACATGTTACTTTTATTATTCTTCCCTTAGTTTATTTATTTTGTATTTACTATGTATCATAGATCAAATTTATTTGTTCAGTGTATGTTCACTGGTGTTAATATGTCTTTTGATTGAGTTCATCGATTTCAATTGATATTTTATAGTGTGTGTTTCTATGTCGTGATGTTATACTATTGTTTCAGATAAGGGTGAAGGTTTAGTACCATTAAAACGTTTAAACCCGCTGCAATTGTTTGCACCTGTCCTAAGTCAGGAATCTGATGTTCAGTAGTTGTCGTTTGTTGATGTGGTTCATAAGTGTTTCTCGTTTTTTATATAGATTAGACCGTTGGTTTTCCCGTTTGAATGGTTTTACACTAGTAATTTGTGGGGCCCTTTATAGCTTGCTGTTCGGTGTGAGCCAAGGCTCCGTGTTGAAGACCGTACTTTGACCTATAATGGTTTACTTTTATAAATTTTGACTTGGATGGAGAGTTGTCTCATTGGCACTCATACCACATCTTCTTATATCTATTTTGTCTGAAATTTATAAAAATCTAGAGGGAGCTTCATGAAAATTGGTGAAAGTATTTTTGAGTTATTGTCCGAAGTGTTGACGACAGAAGGACGGAAGGATGGACAGACAGGCGAACCTACAACTGTATACCATAATGTCCCATCTAAGACAGGCATATAAAGACTATATATGCACTTTTTTCAAGCAGTTGCTAAACTAAGAAAATGAGGTCAAGAACACAGGACCAAGGATTTGTATAGTAAGACAGGACTTATGACAGAAGGTAACTTTGTAACATAAGGCATCTGCATACAAGGTTTGAAGCATCCAGGTCTCATACCTTCTGAAATATAAAGCTTTATACAAATAATTAAGCAGCCACAAGATAGTAATTCCTAGGTTTTGAATTCTGTGACTATCATGATATCTCAGGCTAGACAACTGAAATCCAACCAGAAATGTAGTTCTCTTCTTCTTCTTCTTTATACTTCAACATACTGATGATAACATGCCGGGCAATGATGTCACTATGCCGCGCGTGCGTGGGATATATAATTTCTATTTACAGTTAAATATATACAAATAAAAGTTCAAAGTAATTTTCTTTTTCATCTGTTTTGTACTATACATTTTTGTTAAAACTATATACATCATAATATTAATTTAAATGTGTAGGTGTTTGTTGAGAACACTGTGTTATAGTAGTCTCAGGATAAAATGAGTACTTGTATGAGTCTTTAGATGTTTGCATTGGTCTGTAGGAATGATTGTGTGGATTTTGTCTTGTTCTTGTGTCAGATTGGATGAGCATGTCTGTTGGATAAATAGCTACAAGATGGTGTAGTAGTGGTGAGAATGCTTATTATATAATATAAATCACATTTCAAAGGCACTTAACTCTTGTAAAAATATAGAAGGTTCTATAACAACAACACTTTAAGGAATGCTCCAGTAATTTATTGAGATCGACATGTTTCGGTGGCTAGGCCACCATCATCAGGATAGAAAACAATACATAAAATCATGCTGATGTACAAAATCGGGATGAGAAAATTAAAACGTCACCCTGTTGCTATGGTGAGTAACGTTATAAATAGCAATTGAAAGAGAAAGTAAAAGTAAGTATATGTATGGAAGTAAACTATTAAAATAAAATAAAATGAATATACAATGTTTTTGTTGTTAAAATGTTTGTTAAAATTATTCTGCCATCATGTGTTAGCACTCTTGCACAGTGGAACGAATTATACAATAAATTATTGTTAGTTGTGTTCTGTGTAAACTTTGTGTTCAATTAACGTCTATATTTCCAAATATGGACGACATTTTACTAGCAATTCCGTACCATTTCGACTGGCTTCCCTTGGCCAGAGGTACTGCTCCCAATCGCGTCGGGAATGCTGTAAAGTGTTTGACCTCCGCTGGTATAGGAAAAATTACATAAAATATCACTAGTTTATACTGAATTTAAACGCTGTATTCCTTCATTAAACTATCGGAAGTGGCTGGTAATCTTGTAAAGTTAGTAGTATGTTTGAATAACGTATTTTCTGAACTTCAAAGTGAATTTCATAATAAGAAGTCTGGTGCTTATAATTTCAAATAAATTCTGTAAGGGAAAAATAATCTTATTACAGTTCTTTTCCTCCTTTGGACTCGTTTATGGTTGAGATGGTTCATCATAATTTACTTTCTTTGCTCCTGTTGAATGCCTGATAGCATTTTAGGAAGGCCGGTCCCTGTTGTTGCCTCAATGATATAATTGTTTGTATTACTGCGTGCGATGGCTAACAAGATTAGCGCAGGTTGCAACGGTGGTTCCTCGAAGGGTGCAGGGGTTCACGATAAAAAAATAAATAAAATGCTCTGCTGGGCCCAGCTTGATACAACCGCAGAAGTCGAACTCTGAACAGTTGGGGCAAGTATGGACACAGTTCTGAATTTGGATTGTGATTAAATATTTGACACAGCATAGGTTTTTGACACAGAATGAATGTGGTCTAAGAACTTGAAAAATTTTAATTTACCTATTATGGTCTAATATCCAAAATCTAAATTCCACAATTGTAACAAATATACTTTAAAAAAATATTTATATCAACACCTTTATATATATATTGTGGCAAAATATACCAATTAAAATAAACTCATAAAGAACCTGTGTATTAAAAAATTAACTTACCTTCACTTTCCCTCAAGAACTGGTCATAATCTCAATTCAAATTTCCAATGGACTTTGCAACCATAAAAGCCCACTTAAATACATCATAAAAGTATTAAAATGGAAAATGACATCATAGTCATAGCTAAAATTAAAAAAACTTAATCAGCAACATTTTATAGTAATATCTAAGAATAAAATTCCTTTGCAACCATAAAAGCCCATTTAAATACATCATTAAGGTGTTAAAATAGAAAATGATATCATAGTCATGGCCAAAAATAAACAATAAACCTTCATCAGCAACATTTTATATTGGCAAATTTCCAATGGAGTTTATTATACTAAAGTTATTGGCAAATTTCCAATGGAATTTATTAATACTAAACTTATTGGCAAATTTCCAATATACATAATTTAAAACCAGTGTAGCCGAGATATTCAAATGAGTTTGAATTACAACCCCAATAAATTTGCAACCATAAAAGCCCCAAAGTTGGTCATCAGGTGCAAAAAGCGTCATTTTTGACGATTTTTCGTCCTATTACTTGACCCCAAAGACCGAGGGATGCTGATATAGGTATCCATCTGTAGTCTGCATGTACAGTGGACCCCAGTAAACACATTAACCCCAACAGTTCTTAGGTTGGAGTGAAACTGATCTGGGAACACCAGTCTAAAGAAGGTCATTTGGACAAAAAATACGGAATTTCACGATTTTTTCCGATTTTGGACTTCAACTGGACCTGAAACCCGAAGTAGTCGTTTCCTCTGCGTATTTCAAAAATAATTATGATCAGTAGATATATGTCTGCGGGTTTACACTATTTTTGAAAGTTTTAGGCCTCTGAACTTCCTGTGTAAGACACAGAAGGGAAGCCCACCCCTCCAGAAAAACCAGTTTTATCCAATTTCAATTTCCCAAGTTCGTATTTGAGCTCAAAATGCTACTTAAACATGAGAAACATGACAATAGATAGCCTCAGGTTGAGGGAACATGCATCCATTTCGAAATAAGTATCATAAAGTTGACCTCTAAAAGTATGGAGAGCCATTAGAGCCAAATAACGGTGGTCTGGGTCATCCCGTCATATGACGGGCTCAGCATGGTAAGGGTTAACAATAAAGTTTTTGGCAAATTTCCAATATACATAATTTAAAAGCAGTGTATGTGAGATTTTCAAATGAGTTTGAATTACCAACCTTACACTGCTTTTAAATTATGTTTTGTACTTAAGTAATTGTCCATTACCCAGGAAACCCTTGTTTTTCCCCGTTTTTTGCCCCTTATTTCTTAACGGTTTGAGCCATAACCCCCAAAGCCAATTCTTACCATCCCTTTGTGGTATGGAAACTTGTGGTATAATTTCAGAGAGATCCATTCACAATTCCACAAGTTATTGTCTGAAAACTAGAAAAATGCTTATTTGGGCCCTTTTTAGGCCCCACATTCCTGTTGGGACCAAAACTCTCAGAAAATCAAAGAACCTCCATAATTAAATTTTTAATGAAATCAAACAAAGTTTAATTTTGGACCCTTCGGACCTCAATGTGGATAAATTTAAAAACGAGGCCCAAAATCCAAAAATCTAAATACACGGTTAGATTCAGCATATCAAAGAACCCCATATATTCAATTTTTGTTGAAATCAAACAAAGTGTAAATTTGGACCCCGATTTGGACCAACTTGAAAACTGGGCCCATAATCAAAAATCTAAATACATGTTTAGATTCAGCATATCAAAGAACCCCAAGAATTCAATTTTTGTTAAAATCAAAATAAGTTTAATTTTGGACCCTTTGAACCTTAATGTAGACCAATTTAAAGGGACCAAAATTTAAGAATCTAAATACACGGTTAGATTCAGCATATCAAAGAACCCCAATATTTTTGATGAAATCAAACCATATCATTATTATTTGCTTTTATATATAAATCAGAAATAACCAACTTAAAATGGAAAATTTTAAAGAAAAAAACAAAGGAAAAAAGGAAAAAAAAATCCCCCTCTCCCCAAATTTTTTGAACCTCCTTATGATTCATCACCCCCAAACTCAATCCCAGCCTTCCCTTTGTGGTATGGTACCTTGCAGTACAATTTCATAAAGATCCATACACTTACACACAAGTTATTGTCCTGAAACTAGAAAAATGCTTGTTTTTCGCCCCTTTTTGGCCCCTTATTCCAAATATTTTGAGGCAATTACCCCCTAAATCAACCCTAGCCTTCCCTTTGTGGTATGGTACCTTGCAGTACAATTTCAAAGGATCCATACACTTGAACACAAGTAATGGTCTGGAAACTAGAAAAATGCTTATTTTTGGCCCCTTTTTGGCCCATTATTCCTAAACATTTTGGGCAATTACCCCCAAACTCAATTCCAGCTTTTCCTTTGTGATATGGAACCTTGTAGTATAATTTCAGAAAGATCCATACACTTACACACAAGTTATTGTCATGAAATTAGAAAAATTCTCGTTTTATGCCCCTTTTTTGGCCCCTTATTCCTAAAATTTTGAGGCAATTACCCCCCAAAATCAATCCAAGCATTCCCTTTGTGATATGGAACCTTGTGGTACAATGTCAGAGAGATCCATACACTAGCACACAAGTTGTGGTCTGGAAGTTACAAAAATGCTTATTTTTGGCCCCTAATTCCTTAACTGTTGGTACCATAACCCCCAAAATCAATCCCAACCTTCCTTTTGTGGTATTAAACCTAATGGTAAAATTTCATAGAGATCCATTCACTTAAACTAAAGTTATTGTGCGATAACCAATGTGTCTTCGGACGACAACGACAACAACGCCAACGTCATAAAATTGAGAATGGAAATGGGGAATGTGTCAAAGAGACAACAACCCGACCATAGAGCAGACAACAGCCGAAGGCCACCAATGATCATACCAATATACGACCGCAAATTGTATTGTTTTCTATCCTGATGATGGTGACCTAGCCACCGAAACATGTCGATCTCAATAAATTACTGGAGCATTCATTAAAGTGTTGTTGTTATAGGACCTTCTACATTTTATGTTTTTATCGTAATGACCCTGCATACCTGAGGTATCCACTTTATGGAATCTACTGACAGAAGATTTACCAGGCGTTGGTTCACTTGTGTTTAATTTTTTAATCTTGTAAAAATAATTGATCAATGTTGATTTTCATTCAAGACATTGCTGATATAAACCTTTGATATACATTTCATAAAAATCTGGCAAGAATGTTACACTTGAGAGCGCTTACAATGTAATTTTCTATAGAATTTACATTTCCAAGGGACATTACTCACGCAAAAATAATTGATCAATGATGAACTTGTCCCAGATATTATTCATATATATCTTTGATACAAATTTCTTAATAGGTTTGAGAGAGTGTCCAATGTGATTTGATTCGGAGGACTGGTTTTACTATGTTCCCAGCATAATATTGCATGGGGGACAAAAACGATTGATCAATGGGCTATTGAAATCATTTAGATAATTGTGATAATTTTTACTTTCAATGGCCAAGTATGTTTAAGATTGTCAGGGACACACAACTTCCAAACTGCTGTAATTGTTGACATTACATTGTTGTTGACACTGCCCTGAACAGAAATATGTTGGGTTGTATATAAAATGTAATGGCTCGATAGTTGTCTTTAAATGTCTTTGCTTAACCCTTTGAGCACTGAGACTAAGATTTTTCAAAACATAACAAATTTAATAGTCTGAAAAACTGTTTGATTTTATAAGGAAGGAAGGATAGAACAACTCAAAGATGGACATGGGTAACAATTTATGCCAATTAGAGGCAGGGGAAGTCCAGAAAATATGACATCTTTGAAAACATTGGTACATTTATTACTTCACTTTGTCACAAACTGTTTTTTTTTTTCTTCAAATTATTCAAAGATTTCCATATCTTATCTTCCAAAAGTGTTTTATTTTTCTGAAATGAGAAGAGTAAAATGGTCTGCATAGGAATTATACAGGAGGATGTCAAAGAATTCAATCGATCATGTTTAAATTAATAAATATGCAATCCTCTTTATAAGACAACATAACAATCTGTTCTTATATTACAGGTTTTCTAAGTCATCCACACTTCTTATTTCTGTTCGCTCTGAAAAAAGTTGCCTTATGGTTCGTTTCACTTTGTCTTTAACTGAAATAAAATACATATTATTATAGTCAACACTACTTAATATGAGATGCATGTATAAATAAACATTAATAGATGAACAAGTGAATTATGTTTAAAACATTAATTCAGATTATAATTCATTTTAAACAGCTGTATAAGGTCTTTTCTTCTTTACAAAATATCAGCACATTGTGATACTTTCCAAAATGTTGAAGATTTCCTCCAGAATTCAAAATCTAAAAGTAGGTGATGATTCCATACTCTTATTAACAGATTATTTTATACATTAACTGAATTGCTTCAGATCAATAATTAAATTCTTAAACAAAACCACAGAAGATCCATTGTAGAATTCTATAAAAACTGATTTATATGCTTTATGCTTTTAAAGTTCAATTGAGAGAGTTTCTACTTTTTCAACAGTAACATTTAGTGAAATACATCAACAAGCAATCAAACATAACCATATGAGGATTTGTTCACTTAGAAAGTCTTAAATTTTCTATCAACAATTAGTATCAAGTATTGTCTCCTCACAGTTTCTGAATTTTTCTCACAAACTTGATTTTTAAGAAAATAATAGAAATACATATTTCACTGTGTATTTCAACCTTTCGGCAATCTAAAGATGTATTTTTGGGAGGTTTATCTCATATAAATTCATCCTATATCCTAAGCCCCCCCCCCAACAAATCAATATACCTTTGTCTTTATCTCTACTTTCACATTTCTCTAATACTTTGTGTGACATTAATTTGGCAACAGACTTAAATAAATCCTGAAATTAAAAAAAAAACACTGTTCACACAGTATGAAACACTTCATGATCTGACTATGATTTTAATTTGAAAGCAGTTATAACAACAACAATTTAGGGATTGCTGGAGTAATTTAATGAGATCCACATCTTTTGGTGCCTTTCATCAGGATAAAAACATTACAGAAAATTGGGCTGAAGTACAAAATCTGGAAGGTTTAAATTACATCACAATGTTACCATGGTGAGTATAAATAGTATAAAAGTGAAAGTAGGTATGGAAGTAAACTTGAACAAGATGAATAAAATGTGAATGTCATTAAAATTAAAATGTTTGTTGATATTATAATTCCAAAGTCTGTTACTTACTAATAAAATAAAGAATAAATATGTGTTTGTCATCTTGCATAATGGAACTAAAATAATTAATAAGTTATTGTTAGGCTGTGTACATGATCGTTATTGTATCAATATCAGGCTTTTGAGATTCTTAGGATGCCATGGGATAATCTCAACACCATAAATTTCAAAGTAATATTAGTTTTCAGTTTTTGTCAAGAATCACAGTGATTTATTATACAACTATTAACTTCAGATGAGGTTGATACAATGATTTTTGAACCCCAGAGATATGATATTCACCAAGGACAATGGCCAAGGGTAAATGTCATATCTCTTGGGCTGATAATATCAGATTATTACATGGCACTTTTCAAATCAGATGTATTATCAGCCCAAGGTTCAATATCAGCCCAAGAGCCGTAGGGCTGATAATACATCTGATATAAAAAATGACATGTTATGATCTTTTTATCATATGCTTCATCAATGGAGAAAAATGACAGTTTAATATATTGATCCTTTTAAGTGGTTCTCAAGTAGAAGTTCAAAAAGTGAAAAGTTTACGGACGAAGGAAGAAATACAGACAAGAACTATTTTTAAAACTTTGAAAAAATGCATTTATTGAATCATTTGTTTTGCATTTTACATAATATATTTTCCTGTTTCCTAATATCTGTTTTGTATTCAACTTTGTTATGTTTTTCAGTGAAAACGTACCATTGAGGTGTATTTTCCGGAATTTGCAGGGCAATTTTGCCCCTGTTAGATTTTCTCCATCTACACTGCAATAAAATAGACAAAACTTGCATTTTACCCCTAGGTTCTATTTTTAGCCATGTTGGTAGACAGGCGCATTCATCGGACACATTTATAAAACTAGATACCCCAATGATGATTGTGGCAAAGTTTGGTTGAATTTGGCCCAGTAGTTTCTGAGGAGATGATCTTTGTAAAAGTTAACAGATGATGACTATGACGGACTACGACTGATGCCAACTAATGGCAAAAACTCACATTGGCCCAATGGGCTAGGTGAGCTAAAATCAAGAATTTGCATGACGTCATAACCTACGTCATTGACGTTGCCTAAGAAAACAAAATGCTCCGTGGGGTGCAGCCTGATACGACTCCAGAGGTTGAACCCTGAACAGTTGGGGCAAGAATGGACACTACATTCCAGCTTGATACAGCTTGGAAATTGGATTGTGATTAAATATTTGACACAGCATAGGTTTCTGACACAGAATGAATGTGGTCAAAGAACTGAAAAATTCGAAATTGGACTTTTACCTTCTAGGGTCCAATATCCAAAATCTAAATACACGGTTAAATTCAGCATATCCAAGTACACCAAGAATTTAATTAATTTTTTTATCAATGGACAATATTAAGTTTTTAAAGGGGTGTGCTTCATCAAAAAAAAAAAAAAAATATATATATATATATATATACAAAATGTATATATATATATATATATAGCATTATGAAAATTAATTAATACAGAATAACAAACAAACCTACCAGGAAATTCTTCAAAAAATTTACAAAAAAAAATGAAAAAAACAATTTCCAAAATATCATTCCTCATTCATACAATATCTTTAATAAGCCATACATGGTTAGAATCAGCATATCAAAGAACCTCAAGAATTTAATTTTTGATGAAATCATAGAAAGTTTAATTTTGGACCCTTTGGACCTCAAATCATAATACACGGTTAGATTCAGCATATTAAAGAACCCCAAGAATTCATGACTTTGAAATTAAGCCACTATTTTTTAGGGCCTCAGGGAAGATTTGTTTGTTGTAACTGTGTTTACACTCTTTAAATAAAGAATTTATTATTATATTATTATTATTATTATTGAAATTGGTCAAGAAACAAGCAATTTATACAAAGTGTTAGAAAAGTATTGTTTTTGGCCTCTTTTTCCTAAACGGTGTAATAGGGCCTTAACCCCCAAAATCAATACCAACCTTTCTCATGGTATGGAACCTTGTGGTACAATTTCATAGAGATCAATAGACTAATACTCAAGTTATTGTCCTGAAACAAGAAAATCCTTGTTTTTTTACCCTTTTTGGCCCCTAATTCATAAACGGTTTGGTCCATAACCCCAAAATCAATCCAACCTTCCATTTGATGTATGGAACCTTGTGGTACAATTTCATAGAAATCCATTTGTACTTTAGTTTAATGTTTTCAGAGATTAGTTGATTGTATATATACATCTATGCAAATGAAGATACATATTGAGTGATTGTCACTAAACCTTTGATCTCTTACTAAAGCTTTGGTCCGTATCAATCCTCAAGCTCTTGTGATAAATTGATGTCTCGGGTTGATAAGGGTGTGATATTGAAAAGGCCATTTTTGTCGCGCCTGCGACTTTTGTCGCAAAAGCAAGACATAGCAATTCTACATTCCGTCGTAGGCGTAGTCCACAAATATTCACTCTGCCAGTTAACATTACATTTACTCTGTGGTTAAAGTTTTTAAAATTTTAATAACTTTCTTAAACTATCCTGGATTTTCTACCAAACTTGGACAAAAGCTTGTTTATGATCAAAAGCTAGTATCTAGAAGGAAATTTTGTAAAAATTTATTTCCTGTTTTTCCGTATATTACTTATAAATGGACTTAGTTTTACTTCCAGTTATCATTACATACAGTCTGCAGTTAAAGTTTTTAAAAAATTTATTAGATTCATAAACCATCCTGGATTTTTACCAAACTTGGACAGAAGCTTCTTACAAGCAAAAGTAGTATCTAGAGGAAAATTTTTAATAATTTTTTCCCAATTTTGTATTTTGAACAAAATTTTATAATTGCATCTTCTATTTACATGCATTTTTATTGATGAATTAAGGGATAAATCTATAGATTTGATTGCATACTGTATTCATTTTTTACAAGCATAACTTTTTTCACACATTTCAAATGTTTTTTTTCATTAACTGTAAATCTATTATGTGCATTCCACTATCACACAGAAAACATTGACAACAGCAAAAGTAGGCGAGACATTGGGTTCTGTGGAACCCTTACAAATTTTTCTGTATAAATATCCAATTAGATATTATTTTTATTCATGACTTTACCTTAGAAATAAATTTTCCAGCAGAAAAGTGCGGAGTAAGATATTTGACAACAAGATCTGCTGTCATCTTTAAATCTTTTCCATGAGGCTTGCTTCCTGGTCCTCTATTTACATTAGTAATTACAGTACTGCATTCTAGTCTTGGTTTTTTGCTGTCTGTGTCTTTGCACTGGTGAAGAAAGTAGTGGAAATTGTGTTAATTAATTTTTTCTAATTAAAAAAAAAACACAAAGAAAGATAAATAGGTATTCAATTTCTATGGTAGTTAGGAGTCTTTTGGGTGCATGCTGGTTGAAAATAGTATCATATACAGATATTTACTACTAAATAAATATGTGTGGAAGGAGAACCACTGTACCTAGCTCAAATCTTAAACTTATATCAGATGATATAATCCTATCTCTTCCACTGATGTTACTCAAGGTAATCTGTCAAGCCAAAAACTGACCTGTTTAAAATATATTATTGTTAAATTTGGATCAATTCTATGGAATGGACTACCATACAATATATGTTAAGTGCAAAACACTTTTTTATTTTTAACAATATATCAAGACTACTTGACACAATAATATAAAATTTCATATATACTGGCAACTTTATTTATTTTGTATTAAGGTGGTACCCAACACCTTGACTTACATTAATTTGGCTCGTTTAATTTTCATAAAATTTTGACAAAATGTTTACTTTGACCCTTTGACAAAAATATAAAAATTTCAAAAAATTTGAACCAACCACTTTATCGGAAAAATTTCATTGGTTATATAGCAGTTTGACAAACACTAATTTTGATCATTGAGAAGCTTAATATTTCCTTAACAATACAACGTAAATAAAACGTTTAGCTGATTTTTACAGAGTTATCTCCCTGTAGTGTTAGGTACCACCTTAAATTAAATATATTTATTATATACTTTGTAGTAAATACATGTAAATGGTATCTGTAATACAATCAATGGCAATCGTGCTGCATCAGCCATCTGTGATGATATCAATATCAGTCGCGGTTGCAAAGGCTTTATCACACCCTTAATCTGTATCACGTCATGTCATCGACATCAGTCACTGTTGCAAAGCCTTTATCATACCCCTTATCTGTATGATGTCACATCACATTAAAACACATCTACTTGAGATATATAATAAAGTGTATATGATATGGCTTTTTCAATATCACACACATTATCAACCCTCAACCAATATAATCCCTCGAGCAGAGCTCTTGGGATTATATTGGTGTCTCGGGTTGATACGGATGTGATATTGAAAAAGCCATATAATATTCTATATATATATATATATACAATTTGAATAAATTTTATCACACGAACCTCTTGAACTGTTTTTTTTTATGACACATTGAACTGTAAAATCATCAATTGAAGATGTCATTGTATCTGTAAACAATTGTTTCTGATTTTATTTGTATATGAGGGTCTAAGGGAAGTTTAGTTAATATCGCAAACTGTTTTTAATATCTTTAGATCAAGAATTTTTTATTATTGTTATTATTATTCGATGAATATTTTCAGTTAATTATGGAATTTCAGCTAATAAAAGGAGTTGTGATATTTTTTCCCTTATCACATGATTACATGGGGGACTAAAATAAAAATGTCAGAGTTTTTTCATAATTTGCCAAAATATAGTTTATATCCAGCTTTATAAAACAAGACACAAAAATTAGTCAAAAACGTCATTTAAGGGCAATAACTCCTTGAGGAGTCATCCGATGGTTTCAGTCAATTTGGCAATTTTAAAGCTCTTGTATAGCTGATCATTTTTGCTATATACAGTATCTACCTATATATTATATTTTTCAAGATAATTTGCAAAATTGTAAAAATAAAAAATAAAATGCTCCGCTGGGGTGCAGCTTGATACGACCGCAGAGGTCGAACCCTGAACAGTTGAGGCAAGTATGGACACAACAATCAAGCTTGATACAGCACTGAATTTGGATTGTAATTAAATATTTGACACAGCATAGGTTTCTGACACAGAATGAATGTGGTCTAAGAACTAAAAATTTTAATTTACCTATTCAAACCATATCATTATTATTTGCTTTTATATATAAATCAGAAATAACCAATTTAAAATGGAAAATTTTAAAGAAAAAAAAAAGGAAAAATCCCCCCCAAATTTTTTGAACCCCCTTATGATTCATCACCCCCAAACTCAATCCCAGCCTTCCCTTTGTGGTATGGTACCTTGCAGTACAATTTCAGAGAGATCCATACACTTGAACACAAGTTATTGTCTGGAAACTAGAAAAATGCTTGTTTTTTGGCCCCAAATTCCTAAACGTTCAGGGCAATTACCCCCAAACTCAAACCCAGCTTTCCCTTTGTGATATGGAACCTTGCAGTACAATTTCATAAAGATCCATACACTTACACACAAGTTATTGTCCTGAAACTAGAAAAATGCTTGTTTTTTTGCCCCTTTATGGCCCCTTATTCCTAAAATTTTGATGGAATGGTACCTTGCAGTTCAATTTCAGAGAGATCCATACACTTGAACACAAGCTATTGTCTGGAAACTTGAAAAATGCTTATTTTTGGCCCCTTTTTGGCCCCTTGTTCCTAAACGTTTTGGGCAATTACCCCCAAACTCAATTCCAGCTTTCCCTTTGTGATAGGTAACCTTGTAGTACAATTTCATAAAGGTCCATACACTTACACACAAGTTATTGTCATGAAACTAGAAAAATGCTTGTTTTTTCCCCCTTATTCCTAAAATTTGGAGGCAATTACCCCCAAAATCAATCCTAGCATTCCCTTTGTGATATGGAACCTTGTGGTACAATGTGATAGAGATCCATACACTTACACACAAGTTATTGTCATGAAACTAGAAAAACGCTTGTTTTTCGCCCCTTTTTGGCCCCTAATTCCTAAAATTTGGAGGCAATTACCCCCAAAATCAATCCCAGCATTCCCTTTGTGATATGGAACCTTGTGGTACAATGTCAGAGAGATCCATACACTAACACACAAGTTATGTCTGGAAGTTACAAAAACATACATGTGATGGTCTGCGAAACTCAGATCAGGAGATTGGGAAATTTTGGATCAGGAGGTTTTTAATCGACATAAATTTTGTCGTAAATGTAACCGTGTGATGTAAAAATTGTCTTTTAAAGTGTGTTTTCTTCAACTTTCCATCCAGTGTATTATGTTTATAGTACCCTTGTACTTATAAAGTTTCTCTATCTTTATATTCTACATGTTCAATCTAACATTCTTTTTTTTTAGTATGTTCTTTAAATTTTTTACTTCATTTATTTAATATCATTATTCTATTGAACAATCATTGCAATCAGAACATTTGTTTAACTATCTGCAATTAGGTTTTTATTTGCATACTCAGAAACTCATTCCAAATAAACAAATGGAAGTTTTTAACGACCTTGACTGGCTATACAGCCCTTGCACGGTCTAACTAAAGTAAGGGTCATAGTTATTATATAAATTTCAATTTAAGCCTTGAAAGGAAGTATAGAACCCTCAAATAATTTTCAAATTATTATTTTTTTTCCTAAGACATTTAAAATCATTTAATTACCATTCTTTTATGATTATTTGTTCAATTTATATTTTATTTATATTCTGTTAAAATTTTTTCATTATTTAAAGGATAAAACAGGATAAATCAAGGGAAGTAACCCAATAAATACACAAAGTTTTTATTACACAACGGCAGTTAGCCTGAGGTAAAAATCGTTGATTACCAGTATGTTTGACACCCAAGCTGACAAGCGAAGCCATATAATTATGCATGTTAATTGATTTACAGGTAAAATATAACTTCAGGTAATGTCAGTTACACCAGATGTCTGAGATGATATGTTGGGCAGCAATTTTTCATTCATGAAAAATTTCATACACAGGATTTTTTTCTCTTCAACGGGAGGAGACCCCTGAAAACGGGATTATTGTACTCCCGTCGGGAGGTTCACATGTATGCAAAAATGCTTATTTTTGGCCCCTAATTCCTTAACTGTTGGTACCATAACCCCCAAAATCAATCCCCACCTTTCTTTTGTGGTATTGAACCTTATGGTAAAATTTCATAGAGATCCATTCACTTAAACTAAAGTTAGAGTGCGAAAACCAATGTGTCTTCGGACGACGACGACGACACCAACGTCATACCAATATACGACCACAAAGTTTTTTTGCGGTCGTATAAAAATGGGGAATGTGTCCATGGGACACAGATGATGCCCCCACTAGCATATCATATAAAGTTATAAAGGGACATAACTCAAGAACTGTAAAAGTGACGCTACCCAAATTTGTCATGATCTGAGTTTTGTGGTAATAAGTATTGTGTATAAGTTTCATAACATTTGGTTGAGGCAAACTGAAGTTAGAGAACGGAAACGAAAAATTAAGCAATTTTTCCAATTGTAAAGGGGCATAACTCTAGAACGGTTAAAGTGACGTCACCAAAATTCAAACTTGATCTGTGTTTTGTTGTTATAAGCATTGTGTATAAACATGATAAATTTCAAAACATTTGGTTGAGGCAAACTAAAGTTAAAGAAAGGAAACGAAAAATTCAGCAATTTTTCCATCTGTAATTGGGCATAACTCTAGAACTGTAAAAGTGACGCCACCAAAATTCAAATTTGATCTGTGTTTTGTGGTAATAAGCATTGTGTATAAGTTTCATAACATTTGGTTGAGGCAAACTAAAGTTTGAGAATGGAAACGAAAAATTAAGCAATTTTTCCATTTGTAAAGGGCATAACTCTAGAACGGTATTAGTGAAACCACCCAAATTCAAACTTGACCTGTGTTTTGTGTTAATAAGCATTGGGTATAAGTTTCATAACATTTGGTTGAGGCAAACTAAAGTTAGAGAACGGAAACCAATTTTGGGACGTACGGACGGACGGATGGATGGACAAGGGTAAAACTTAATGCCCCCTCCGCTACGGCGGGGGCATAAAAATTGTTAAAACATTGTTTTATGCATAACAACTGCTATAAGGACTCAACCCATGGCTTGGTCAAATTAGCTATTTGTATATCCTGTATTAATTGCTGATCATTTTTGCTGTTTACAGTTTTTATTCATATTTTATAATTCAAGGGATAATTGACAGAAATATGAAAATTCGTCAAAAAATTGTCATTTAAAAAACATAACTCCTTAAGGTGTAATCCAATGGTTTTTGTCACTTTGTTTTTTTGTAGATCCTTTCTTGCTCATCATTTTTGATTTTTACAGTTTTTATCTATCTGTTATAGTCCAAAATGGTCAATGTCCAATAAGTCCAGTAAAATGATCAAATCAAAATGACAATATAATATGGTGAACTACACAAGACGGCAAACACTCCTACCAAGTATGAGAGGTTTCTATCAAACAGTCTAAAGAGCAGTTACGTTCACAGTTTCATTATTTCGATACTCCAAAAAATGGCCAAAATCTCATAACTCCTGTAAAAATCTATAGTTTTTGTCCAAAATGCAAACAAGAGACACACCAGTGCCTGTATCACTTAACTGGAGGAAAACAAATTTGGCAGTTTTTCAATCAAGACTTTTATATGCACATAATACATGTATAGTTATTCTTTGTGTTGCTGATAATTTTTGCAATTTGCATATCTAACATGTTCAACCTAGCTCCTATAGTTTTTTTAGATAACAGCTAAAACTGCCAAAAAGCAGTGAAAATCAATATTTCAGAGGCAATAACTCCATAACAGGTTGTCAAAAATATCAAAGTAGATAGATCTTGTCTTCCTAATCATTTCTGTATGTACTCTTTTAACCTATCTCCTATATTTTTTCATGATAACAGCCAAAAACTGCAAAAAAAGATTTTTCTCTAATTTTCAGGGTAGATACATCTTGTCATGCTGAACCTTTTTGCAGTTAACAATTTTAACCTAGCTCCTATAGTTTTTATTATAACAGCCAACAACTGCTAAAATTGAAAAAATAGATATTTCAGGGGCAATAACTCCAAAACAAATACTGATCATTTTTGCATTTTACACTTTTATCCTAGCTCCTAGAGTTTTTGAAACAAATTAAAGCAAGGAAATTTCCCAAAAAGTTAAAAATCAATATTTCAGGGGCATTTACTCCAAAACAGGCAGACAGATATTTCCAAGATGTTCAAGGGAACATAGATCTTGTTGTGATGACCATGTATACCCTGTCAGTTTTTTCTCAAATTGTTATAGAAATGTTAGCCAAAACTGTAGTTTGACCCTTATGTTTTATTTTTAGAAATGGCAGCTACGTTGGTTGATCATCCTGGACAAAAATCACAAACTTTATAGCTGACATCAAACATCAAATAGACAAAGCAGAATGGGAATGCAAAAGCTCTTATGGCCAAGTGAGCTAAAAAGTTAAACATTTTCAGTTTAGGACAATAACTCCTATAAGGAATCCACTGACAATTTTGACTCTGTTGACCTGTTTGTAGATCTTGTCTTGTTGATAATCTTTGCTGTTTTCAGTTTTCTTTATCTACCGAAGTTTTTGCAAAACTCTGGTCAAAGTTTCAAATGGCCAGCTTGCAATATTTGTGACTAAACAATGTAGAATGTTTACAATGTAGTTGCAATTACATGAAGGGGAAGAAGAATTTTTCTTCAAAAAATCTTAACAAGGTAATTTGTACCCTCCTTCATAAATTTTGCTAAATAAAAAGTTCCAGTCTGGAAAAATGAGAAAAAATTCCCTAAACAATTACATAATAGCAGGTTCTCAATATCAACATATGTGCAATCTTCCTGTGAAGTTTCAGGGATCTGGATTGAAAAACAAAACTTGTACCTTCTTTCATAAATTTTGCAGAAAAAAGACCAAGTCTGGAAAAATGAGAAATAATTTCGGCAAACAATTCAATAACAGCATGTGGACAACATATGAGTAATCTTCCTGTGAAGTTTTGGGGATCTGAAAACTGTAGGAAGAGATGATTACACTAAATAAGGTACCCCCTTTTCGCACTCGCCTGTCCACCCAAAACCTACCCATCCATCAAACATCACCATACTGTAAACAGTCCAACGTTTATTTAACCCAACCAAAATGCAGGTAAAAACATCATTAATTCCTATAACTTGTTGACAAAATGGTTGACTGACAATTTCGCCCATGTTGACATATTTATAGATCTGCTAATCATTTTAACTGTTTACAGTTTCTCTCTATCTATTGTAAATTTCAAGATAATAGACAAATATGAAAAAAATTGGTTTTTTTTTAAGGGCATTAACTCTGACAAGAAGTTGTTGGGCTATTTTTTCATGTAAATCAACAGTAGGTAGTTACATTCTGAATATTTCTGTCCCTAATGAATGTTCTCTATTTATAGCGGTTTTCAAGATAATAGACAAAACTTGCATTTTACCCCTATGTTCTATTTTTAGCCATGTAGGTCATATTGGCAGGCGGGATCATCAGACAATTTTTTTAAACTAGTTATCCAAATCCAAACTATAAAAAGACAATAACATCCTGGGGTTTTAAAGACACCACTCTAAGTGGTGAAACATGTTGAACACAACAAAAGAATTTCTTTGCTGTAGCCAGGATGTTGTTGTCTTTGGGTCTGGTCAGCTACAAAAATGTGTTAAATCCTATAATAAACATTGGAACTAAGTTTCAAGTTGATGTAACCACAACTTCTTGGTAAATTACCTTACACTGTACTTATGATAAAATATGGAACAAAGGAACAGACGGATGCATAGACCATAAAAACATAATGCCCTGGACTACCGTATAGCAGGTTATTTTCGCGGATATAAAATTTCGCTATTAAGGGGCAACAAAGTATATGAAAAATTTTGGCGGTTTTTATTTTGGTGGATTCTTAAATCCCCATTAAATATTTTGGCGGATACTGAAATTGTTGCAGTTAAAAGATTGTAAAACTTGACAAACAATTGTCTATTGTTATGGTAAAACGATTTGTTTTTACCTGAATGAAGTCTTATTTATTGATTATATTCTGATACAGTTAATAAATAGAATACCGATGACTTAGATATTTGTTACATGTATTCAAACGTCTTGTAAATTTTACGGTTGATTAGTTATGAAATTGACCGGACTTTTGATGTACTTACTAATTAGGTTACAAAATTATCATAAGTTATAGTTTGACACTAATTAACAAGGGTAATTATCTGATAAGAGTACCTTACACTCTTATTCTAATTGACACTTATTAATAAGGGTATACACACCTAAGAGTCATTTTATAAAATACATGTATGTACAATGCCCTTTGGTATTTATGTTGTTAAAACTAACATATACCGCTATTGACTTGCCGACCGGAAAAAATATATTGTTCACAAAACGCTTTAGCTATTAGAAAGTACCCAACGTATGGATAAATCTTTGCGATTTTCATTTATCCGCCAAAATACGTGAAAATAAACACCCCACGAAAATAACCCGCTATACGGTATTATAGGCAGGGCATAAAAAATACTTATTCCTTTTACTGAAAATTTGTGTAATTCCACTTGTAAATGTGTTGCAATAAAATATTTAATTATATGTTCATAAAACTTATGGAATCAATGTTTATATACAATAAGTCACTCTCACTATTTTGAACTCTTCATGAAAATTTATGGAAGTTGCAAGATGAGTGACTACAATAAACTATCTGCATTTATGTACAAGTAGTATAATGTAATGTTAAGTTTGGACATATATTATAACTAATTGTAGCTATATGCTATTTCCCTTACACATTGTATGATTATTACTAGTATAACAATATCCAATGTATTCAGATAAAAATCATTCATTAATCAATTTTCGGTGAACATTACTACTGTCATTTTAAGATATTACTATCTTTTGTTCAGTGGTCTATTAGCTAAATTTGCAGTACATTTGTACCATTTGACATATGATAACATAAGGTGTGTGCTTACTTCTACTGATCTCCATCATAAGTTCTGACTAGATAAACTTCACATTATTTTTTTTAAATGAAAATCAGTTTGCAAATAAGGATTTTGTATTATACTGCGTGCTCTAGAATCTACAATAAAATAAAAAGGCTATGGATACCTCTTCTTTGACTGGTCTTTTTTTGCCTTTATGAAAGTGATTAATGGTTTCATCTTTTTTATCATTAACTTGACAAGCCATGTAGAAAGCTGTTGAAGCATCTGTACAACCAGTAGTTACACATGTGTCATGTGATTTTCCTATAGAATTATCTTTGGAATGAGAAGAATGTTTGTATTTTTCATCTGTTGTCAGCTTAAAAAGTTTCAATTTAACTTCTTGCTCATTTCTGTCTTTCGATTCATCAATCCCCTTTGTACAAAAGTCTTCTTTCTCTGTTTTAATGGGACTTGGTGTACTATTCCTAGACTTATTCTCATCTGATCCTAGTCCTGATTCATTTTTAAATAAAATGTCATCACTAAATCGAACACGTTCGGGTTTAACACTTCTAGACTTCTGTTTGTGACTAGATTTAGATGAAATACTACCCGCTTGGTATTTGTCTAAAATAGATGCCACTTCTGATTCTAATTGCTCTAAGGGTTTCTCTTCAATTACATCATTAAATGGTTTACGAGAAATTTGACCCTCTAATGATAAATCAGACTTTCTTGAAAGTTTTAATTTAGAATCAGTGTTAGAATATTTATCTGAATCAGAACCACAGGAATACTTGACAGTTGACTTTTCATCAGGATCAGTCTTGAAATTATCCTTTTTGTTAACTATCATATCAGAAGCTTTCACAAAAGCACAACTAAAACCAGAAGTTGTAGCCTTATCACAATAATCCCTGCCATCATTTGAGAAATGACTAGCAGGACTTGATTTAAAATTGTCTGATCCTTTAGGAACAAGTGATTTGTGCAAATCTTGACTTTTTGTTGTTTTCTTTATCTCATTGCATTTTGACATAATAGCTGCCTTGTACAAATTTACAGCTTTACTTGACTTAAACACATCATATTCTTCATCTATAGCACAACACTCAGGTTCATAGTCTTTGGCAGCCATCTTGGCTGAAATATCTTTGTAGTATGAAGTAAAGTTAGTATAAAGCTCAGATGAAATCATTCCAAGGCAGTGTTCTCTGATCTGAAACAGATTACACTATAGAATTACAACAGAAAATAACACATTCTCATTTATAAAATATTTATAAATATATAATATATATGTTTATGTTTTAACACTAGAATTTGAATACTGATAAATAAAATATGTAATGGTTTCAAAGTATGATATTAACCTATGATAAGATTTAGAAATAATTCATGGCAGCCATAGATTTGCTTTCATTTAACCATGGGTTAGGCATTTATATTTGATTATTTCATCCCGAGCTACAGCGAGGGGTAAAATATGAATATAAATGCCCAACCCATGGTTAAATGAAAAAAAATCTACGGCTGCCATGAATTATTTCGATTCTAAAAGGACAAATTCTGTAATTTTGTCAACCGTGAATGCCCTATACACATGATGCTGTTTTGGCTGTTCCGTTTTACTCCACATATAATAATATTAATGATATAATATTATTCAATGATAAATGAAAAAACTCACATTCTTCACCTTAATTTGTTCTTTTTATGTTATTTTATTACATTCTGAGGCATACAAGAAACTTTAAAACGCCTGGTGTTTACATTTGACACCAGAAGCATACATATGATGTCACCTTGTTTAGTTGCCAAAGACAATAACATCATTTTCGCGGAATTTTTGTTTTATGACATTTTACATCGAAATAATAACTGAAATGGACTGATTTGTTTATTTTGCATCCGAAATAGAGATAACTGTATTGTATTCAAAGCTTGGCCTACGTAAAACGTGGTATTTACTGTCAAAAACTGAGTTCACCTGGTCGTATAAATAAGATGGGCGTAACGCGGAACAGCCAATTTTGTGTTCTGTGCGTCTGCACTAAAAGTAGGTATACTGTGTTTATACTGGTTGACGATAAATAGGTCGTCATATTAGAATATTAATTCAATCATAGGTAATATACATAATAAGTTTTACATTCTGAACAATATCCATATGATTCAATGCTGGCTGTAAACCCAATATGAAACTCCATTAAAGTCTTGATCCAGAAAGGTTATGCATTTCTCAGACTGTTTATGACATCGGTACACTAAATCTGTTGGAAGTGTACTTATTGATACTTTAGTCAGGGAGAGCATGATTTATTTATAAGTTGTGATTGGCTTTGAACTAGCTTTCATTAACTGGGAGTACTCTTATTTCTGTGCTTTTTGTTAGTTGTTTTTTGTGCTTTGTGTCAATCTATTGAGTTAAGTCTTTTGCAACTAATTTTTACGGTTTGGTCAGTCCTGATGAAAATATTCATGATTGATTGATTGTTGGTTGTGTTACATTCAGTGGCAAATTTTTCATGACAATAAGCTTACTGGCCAGAAAAATGTATATATGTATCATCAAGGCTTGCAACTCAGCTTCTATGACACTTATAACTGTCAACTACTTCATTTTTACAGTCATAGACTAGATGGTTTATGGTTAACCATGAAGGGTTACAGTTACCTATTTTGACCTGGATAATGACCTACTATCCTAAACACATATTCACACAAGTTTAATGGTCAAAATTGTGTTTTTCTATTCAGTGGCTAAATAATTATGGGAAAGGCTTGTGCTCTTTTAATTTTGCATAAAAGTTACATTACCAAGGGTTTTACTTCCATAAATACATTTGATCCATTCTGTTTTTAATCTCTTCTGAGATATTGCCTTTTATAAACTTTTCGTAGAAATTTCATAAAAATCAGAAAAGAAATGTAGGTGTGAGAATGCTTAAAAGACTGACATTTCTCTGTTTTATAGATATCAATTATCCAGGTACTGGTATGTCATGAAGCATTCAGGCAGAGTTGCATCCTCAAAGTGCATACTCAATAGTATAAAAATAAAGTGCAAATGAACATCTGTCAACTGAACAGGATATCCTACAACAATGAAGAGATGTCTTAGGTCAAAAGTGTTTCCCCTATTAGATACAGGTGTATTCCCCTATTATTTCATATAAAAGCATATTTTCAATAAAAATTCTACTGAAAATACTTCTTGTAAGAATTAATTGAATTTTTATTCATAAAATACAGAAATGTCTGCAGTTTCTTGCAATAATTATGAAATATATTTATGATTTATATTTTTATGGAAATCACTGTTTAAAGACAACTATGAATTTCTGCACGAAAAAAATCATATGGCTATATAGGAAAAAAATTACACTTAATTTCAATATTTGTATGCAAATAATGATTTCTCAGTAATGACATGTCATAAAAATATTTCATAATAACCATTAAAAGGTGTACACATTTATGAGTTAAACATTAAAAGTTTCATCAAAATATGACCTCAAATGAGTTTTTGACAATGTTTTTAAAAAATATGTTTTTATATGAAATAATTTGGGAATTTCAAATACATGTAGGTGAAACACTTTTGACCTAAGACTGTACTACTAGGGGAATATAAAGAGAGATAATAAATGATCTCCTCAAATTCCCTACCTAAATCTAAATTGTGTCTGCATGCATAGCAGGTCATTGACAAATGGGTCATTTAGGAAGGCAATATGTGTAAGGAGACACATAAACTGTACATAAGTTACATATAAGGAGATAAATGTTGAAAAAATCCTCTAGGCAGTATTGAAAAGAATAGTCGTAATGTGTCATTAGTTTACATGGGAACATAAGAAAATGATATTTTGCAAATATTGCTAAACACAGTCTAAACCATATTGAACCATTCAACTGTGTATCAATATTTATTTCTTATGCAGCAAAAATACTGCAATCTGATTGGTTAATTACCCCGGTGTAAATAACACCCCACCCTTGTTCACCCCCTGGATAAATAAAATTTTGCCAAAAAATAAAAAAATTGCCAAAATGTAAAAAAAAAATTAAATGTCAAAAAATAAATAAAAAATAAATAAATAAAATGTCAAAAAAAAAAAAAAAATATAAAAAATAAAAAATCAATAAATTTGAGGACAAAAATTTTAAAATAAATTTAGTTTTCCCGAAAATTCAAAAGAACAAAATTTTGTTTCTGAATTTCCCCAAAACAAAGAAAAAAAGTATTTGACAATACACAGCAACATCAACGTTGAAAAAATGTTACACTGGAAATTTTTCATTAGCATTTTTCAATTTTACATCCCGGTTTAAAAATGAGTAAAGGAATTGTTCATAAAAAATAAATTCATTATCTTGGTGTAATCAGGGGTGTACGGAATTTTACACCGTTGTTGAAAATTCATACACCCATTCGGCTGCGCCTCAGGGTGTATGAATTTTCAACAACAGTGTAAAATTCTGTACACCCCTGATTACACCAAGATAACTAATATTATAATTAAAACAGTTAGCAGACGTTTTGTTCACAAAAAAAAAAATGAAATAAATGGGGAATGTGTCCATGGATTACAGATGATGCCCCTGCTTGCATATAACGTTATAAAGGGACATAACTCTAGAACGGTAAAAAGTGACGCTACTCAAATTCAAACTTGATCTGAATTTCGTGGTAATAAGCATTGTGTGTAAGTTTCATAACATTTGGTTGAGGCAAACTTAAGTTCGAGAACGGGAACGAAAAATTCAGCAATTTTTCCATTTGTAAAGGGCATAACTCTAGAACGGTAAAAGTGACACCACCAAAATTCAAACTAGATCTGTGTTTTGTGGTAATAAGCATTGTGTATAAGTTTCATAACATTTGGTTGAGGTAAACAAAAGTTAGAGAACGGAAACCAATTTCGGGACGTAATGACAGACGTACAAGGGTAACACTTAATGCCCCCTTCGGCTGAGGTGGTGGCATAAAAAATAACACAATGATATGTTTTTTTTAGGTTTTAAAGGTGTTATAATCTGTCCAGACCGCTGATTGACAGGATATATAAATGTTAAATTGAAGCCATTTGATTATTTTGAGCAGGACACTTTAGCAAAAAATTTAAAAACTACTAGGGGAAATTTTAGCACAGACATTATATCACATTTTATCGCTGGATTAATCTGTTAACCTGTATTTTCTTTAGCCCATTTTGGCGAAAACTTACCTGTTTTAAAAATACTCTCAAAACTAAAACCATGAACAGTCATGTATGCTGGCTTTATGTTTAAGTTGTTTGCATTTACAATTTGCTTAAACAAGAAAATAAATGTTGTAACACAGTGTTGTAGTAATCTCAGAGTGAATGGACATAATATTTTAATGTTGTGATGTTTTGATACTATATAAATTTATTATTCTAAAACAAATTAATTTCTGTTGCTAACATGGGCATTGATAATTTCCCTTCACGCTAAAATGGGTTCTGCACTGGTTACCGGAATTTTGGATACACCAAACCAGGCACTTCATATCTGAGAAACAGGCAATATATGCCCTCAATTTTAGAATTCATTCATACATTTTTGTATTATTCAAAATTATCAGTAAATTATGTGTTCTACAAGGATAACCAGTCCTTCACCTTTCATCTCATACCTTAATTACTAAAATATATGCTACATAGTTTTAGATTTACACCTATGCGTAGGAACTATTTTGTTTTAGATATATATATACTACTTTCCAATATGTTCTTTTTTGACCTGGCTCGATTAAGTGGTGTTACATCTTACAAAGTCTATCCAAATTTATTTTTGCAAAGAGAATTCCGCTCAAGCCGGTGCTAGGGGTCGTCTTAAACTTGCGGTGAGGTGAGAGTTTTTTTTGCTCCGTGTTGAAGGCCTCACTGTGACTTTGAGATGAAGAATAGCAATAAAAGCCCTGTTCCTTTGCTTATTGTGTGTTTTATTTGCTAAGCCACATGAAACTGCATGTTATCTAAAAAGATTGAAAAAATTCACTCACCTTGACTGTTAGTCTAGGAATTTTTGGACTAGAAGCATCTCTGAGAACACAATCTTCACTTGGCTTCTCAAAATCATCATCATCACCAGCTGTTACTGTTGAAGTATCCTGTAAAGAACTTTAAATTTCAAAGAGTGCTCCTAAATGAATTCTATGGGCCATCTTCACTGTTGTGTGATCTGTTGAATCACTCCACGTTGAGGGAACTGCTTATAACTAAGATGAAATACAGCAATAAAAGTCCTCTTATAAATAGTCTGTTGATAACAAGAATTGAAATTCTTATACCGGTTTTAATCTGTGTACAAAAGTTAAAATATATACTACGAGCTTTTGTTCACAATTATGTATTCTTCAAAATTCAAAAGAAAAAAAATCAGTTAACTACGGTAGTAAGCTCTCAAAAAAAAAAAAAATAACCTAGGGTAATAATACCCTTCAAATTGATTTGTTGGCACAATTGCCCTGTATTACTTGGAAAATGTAAGAATCATAACCTGACTGACAAACAGTAGTCTACCTGCCTCTATGGGAAATTAAGATAATGCATTTGATCAGAAATAAATCTGATGTTTGGTAGGTCCCATGATAGACCATTCTCGAAATGATGCTTAGGAAGGTATAATGTGTGCAAATGACACTTGAACAGTTAAAGGATATATAAAGTTGTATGAGGATATTTTGGTGCTAAATGTGGAAAAAAATTAAATGAAAACATTAAAAACAACAGTCTTTGTGTGTCATAAGTTTCAGTGGACAACTAGAGTTTTCCAAAAACATATGATTCTAATTTTCCAGTGTCAAATATTGTTTACCTGTATGTCAAGGTAAAAATTCTGCCATCCCCCTTTGCAAATACTATGCATTATCAACAGAAAATGTATTTGTATGATGAAAACTACAGATGCACACAGGACTCACCTGACAGAAGAATAATTAGTCCAAAAGTGAAAACAAGAGTGCACACGCTGAAACGTCTGGCCTGCTTTACTGACCATTGATTTTATGTGGAAAGTCTTAAAGATAAAAGTTTTACTACAGGTACCACATTAACTTAACATTTTCAAAGATCCATGAAAATGAGGTCAAGGTCAGATAAATCCTGTCAGACAGACATGTACACAATTATTCCATATACCAAATATAGTTGACCTATTGCTTATGGTAATTGAAAAACTGACCAAAACACAAAAACTTAACATTGACCAATGAACCATGAAAATGAGGTCAAGGTCAGACGATACCTGCCAGATAGACATGTACACCTTGCAATTATTCCATACACCAAATATAGCTGACCTATTGCTATAAGTATTTGAAAAACAAACCAAAACATAAAAACTTAAGATTGACCAATGAACCATGAAAAGGTCAGATAATACCAGCTAGACCGACATGTACATCTTACAATCATTCAATACACCAAATATAGTTGATCTATTGCTTATAGTACCTGTAAAACAGACCAAAACACAATAAAATGCTCCGCTGGACGCAGCTTGATATGACTGCAGAGGTCAAACCCTGAACAGTTGGGGCAAGTATGGACATTGCATTCAAGCTTGATACAACTCTGAATTTGGATTGTGATTAAATATTTGACACAGCATTGGTTTCTGACACAAAATGCATGTTGTCAAAGAACTGAAAAATTTGAAATTGGACTTTTACCTATTATGGTCCAATATCCAAAATCTAAATACATTTTTTGTACATGGTTAGATTCAGCATATACAAGTACACCAAGAATTTAATTAATTTATTTATTAATGGACAATATTAGCTTAGGTTTTAAAGGGATTTGCTTCATCAAAAAAATTAGTGAACAGAGTTCCAATGTCCCCCGCATTGCACATATTTCATTTATCAAAGGTACAAGGGCAATAACTTAAAAAAAGCACTTTTTTTTGTTCTTTAAAACTTTTTATTAATATCTTAGAGAAATGAAGGCTTCAGAGCAAATGCAATGTGATTTCCATTATAATTAATATTTCCAAGGGTCATAACTCGTTAAAAATATTTGATCAGCACTTATTTTAATAAAATGCTTCGCTGGGCGCAGCTTGATACGACCGCAGAGGTCGAACCCTGAACAGTTGGGGCAAGTATGGACACAACATTCAAGCTTGATACAGCTCTGAATTTGGATTGTGATTAAATATTTGACACAGCATAGGTTTCTGACACAGAAAGAATGTGGTCTAAGAACTTCAATTTTTTTAATTTACCTATTATGGTCCAATGTCCAAAATCAAAATACATGGTTAGATTCAGCATATCAAAGAACCCCATATATTCAATTTTTGTTGAAATCAAACAAAGTTTAATTTTGGACCCCAACTTGGACAAACTTGAAAACTGGTCCCATAATCAAAAATCTAAACACATGTTTAGATTCAGCATATCAAAGTACCCGAAGAATTCAATTTTTGTTAAAATCAAACTAAGTTTAATTTTGGACCCTTTGGACCTTAATGTAGACAAATTTAAAAAACGGGACCCTAAATTAAAAATCTAAAAACACAGTTAGATTTGGCATATCAAAGAACCCCAATAATTCAATTTTTGATGAAATCAAACAAAGTTTAATTTTGGACCCTTTTGACCTCAATATGAACCAATTTGATAGCGGGCCCACAAATAAAAAATCTAAATACATGGTAAGATTCAGCATATCAAAGAACCCCATATATTCAATTTTTGTTGAAATCAAACGAAGTTTAATTTTGGACCCCAATTTGGACCAACTTGAAAACTGGGCCAAAAATCTAAAATCTAAATACATGTTTAGATTCAGCATATCAAAGAACCCCATATATTCAATTTTTGTTGAAATCAAACAAAGTTTAATTTTGGACCCTTTGGACCTCAATGTGGACCAATTTAAAAACGGGGCCCAAAATCCAAAAACTTAATACACGGTTAGATTCAGCATATTAAAGAACCCCAAGAATTCAAGAATAAAACCCCATTGAAATTGATCAAGAAATAAGCAATTTATACGAAGTATCTTCTTTTGCACAATACTGTGCAATTGAATATTTCTTGCTATTGCGCAATACTGTACAATTGACAATTTCTTGCTATTGCGCAATATTGTGCTATTGGATATTTCTTGCTATTGCGCAATACTGTTAAATTGAAGATTTCTTGCTATTGCGCAATACTGTGCAATTGAAGATTTCTTGCTATTGTGCAATACTGTGCAATTGAAAATTTCTTGCTATTGCACAATACTTATTATATAATAATTTACACATCCTGTTTGGTGTGTATCTCCTACCATATCATTATTATTTGCTTTTAAATATAAATCAGAAATAACCAACTTAAAATGGAAAATTTTAAAAGAAAAAAAAAAGGAAAAAAAGAAAAAAAAAAAAAAAAAAAATCCCCCCCCCCCAATTTTTTGAACCCCCTTATGATTCATCACCCCCAAACTCAATCCCAGCCTTCCCTTTGTGGTATGGTACCTTGCAGTACAATTTCAGAGAGATCCATACACTTGAACACAAGTTATTGTCTGGAAACTAGAAAAATGCTTATTTTTGGCCCCTTTTTGGCCCCCAATTCCTAAACGTTTCGGGCAATTACCCCCAAACTCAATTCCAGCTTTCCCTTTGTGATATGGAACCTTGTAGTACAATTTCAGAAATATCCAAACACTTACACACAAGTTATTGTCATGAAACTAGAAAAATGCTTGTTTTTTGCCCCTTTTTTGGCCCCTAATTCCTAAAATTTTGAGGCAATTACCCCCAAAATCAATTACAGCCTTCCCTTTGTGATATGGAACCTTGTGGTACAATGTCAGAGAGATCCATACACTTACACACAAGTTATTGTCTGAAAGTTACAAAAATGCTTATTTTTGGCCCCTTTTTGGCCCCTAATTCCTTAACTGTTGGTACCATAACCCCCAAAATCAATCCCAACCTTCCTTTTGTGGTATTGAACCTTATGGTGAAATTTCATGGAGATCCATTCACTTAAACTAAAGTTAGAGTGCGAAAACCAATGTGTCTTCGGACGACGCCGGACGACGACGACGACGACGACGACGACAACGACGACGACGACGACGACGACGACGACGCCAACGTCATACCAATATACGACCAAAAAATTTTTAATTTTTGCGGTCGTATAAAAAGTGTCGAAGATATTGCTGATACACAAACATATGATATAAGTTTCATAAAAATCTGGCAAGAATTGTACACGAGTGCTCTGACAATGCAATTTTCCATATAATTATTGTTTCCAAGTGGCATAGCTCTTTTAAAAATTATTGATCAGCATTGATTTTCAAACTCGTCCAAGACATTGCTAATATAAACTTATGATATAAGTTTCATAAAAATCGGGCAAGAATTTTACACATGAGAGCACTAATTATGCAATTTTCCATATAATTAATGTTTTCAAGGGGCATAACTCTTATAAAAATAATTGATAGGAACTGATTTCGAACTTGTCCAAGACATTGCTGATATAAACCTATTATATAAGTTTCATAAAAATCTGGCAAGAATTGTACATGTGTGAGCGCTAACAAGACCGAACGGACGCCCGGTATTTCTATGTCCCCCGCAACGCATTGCGTGGGGGAAAAAAAAATATATATAGAACTCTGAAAAATTAATTTATACAGAATAACAAACGAACCTACAATGAAATTCTTCAAAAAATTATGAAAAAAATTAAAAAAACAATTTCCAAAATATCAATCATCATTAATACAATGTCTTTAAATAATCTATAAAACTTACCTTTAATTATTTTTCAAAATATCTAATAATGAACAGTAAATTTCAAGCTATATTTATACATAATTTTTTGTCTAAAATTAGAATTTCATGATGTAGCTATTTTTAACTATGAATCTACTTATAATTTCTATTAATTGTGCAATACAGCTCTGGATTTGGATTGTGATAAAATATTTGACATAGCATAGGTTTCTGACACAGAATAAATGTGGTCTAAGAACTTCAAAATTTGAAATTCGACATTTACATTTATGGTCCAATGACCAAAATCTAAATACATGGTTAGATTCAGCATATCAAAGAACCCCAAGATTTAAATTTTTGATGAAATCAAAC